GCCCCGCCCCCGGTGGCCCGCAGGCCTCTCGGGGGCACCTCTCCTGGGCCTCCGCCCCCTGGGGGCTGGTTCAGAGCCGAGAGCAGCTGGGGACAGGCCCCGGAGCAGCTAGCTGGCCGCGGCCCCGGGAGGAGGGGACGTGCGGACCCTCCAGAGCACGGGCCTAGCCACAGCCCCGGCTCTCGCTCACCCCGGGCCCGCGCAGCGGCCAGGAGCCGGGCTCGCCCCTTTCCGCAGTCACAGTCTGATACGCTGGCCTGGGCGGTGGGCACTGGCGCCCGCCCGCCCAGCACCCCGTCCCTCCCAGGCCCTACCAGGGGAACCCGACCTTCGACCCCGAGTTCATCCGCTCCAAGTCGACGGCCGCCGCGGGGCTCTGCTCCTGGTGCCTCAACATCGTGCGCTTCTACGAGGTCTACTGCGACGTGGCCCCCAAGAGGCAGGCCCTGGACGAGGCCAACGCCGAGCTGGCCGAGGCCCAGGACAAGCTCTCGCGCATCAAGAACAAGATCGCTGTGAGTGGCCCGGCCGCCGCCCTGCACACTCGGCCGCGTCCCCGTGGACAAGAGGCCGCGGCCTGTGTCGCGCCGCTCGGCCGCGGGAGGGGGATGCAGACCCCGCCCCCGCCCGCGCCCCCTCTGCGGCGGGCTCCCGGAGCTGGGTGCCGGTCACAGCCCCCCCCGTCGGCCAGGAGCTCAATGCCAACCTGAGCAACCTGACCTCGGCGTTCGAGAAGGCCACCGCGGAGAAGATCCGGTGCCAGCAGGAGGCCGACGCCACCAACAGGGTCATCTCCTTGGCCAACAGGTAGAGCGGGGCGGGTGCCGGCCTCGCGTTCAGGCCCAGGGTGGCATGGTGTGGCCCTGGGGCGGCCTCGGGGGACAGGCCGGCCGCGTCTGCCGCTTAAGCCCTCCGGTGGCCGCACGGAAACGGTAGCAAGGCCCGGAGGGACGCCGACCCTGTGCCTCTCAAGCCGGACTCTGCCCACTTCCACGCGTGGCCACGGCGAGGCCGTCCCAAGAGGTTTCGGGGCGTCCTCAGCTCCCCGGGGTCCTGCGGCCACACCTGCGCCCAGCGGCCCCCCCCGCCCCCCCCCGAGTTCCAACGCTGGGCGGGCCGGGCCGGCGGCCGACGGTGCCCGTCCCCCAGCCCACCCCCCGCCCCCAGGCTGGTCGGAGGGCTGGCGTCTGAGAACGTGCGCTGGGCCGAGTCGGTGGAGAACTACAAAAGCCGGGGCGTCACCCTGTGCGGGGACGTCCTGCTCATCTCCGCCTTCGTCTCCTACGTGGGCTACTTCACCAAGAAATACCGCAACGAGCTGATGGACAAGTTCTGGATCCCTTACATCAACCAGCTGAAGGTAGGCGGGCCGCGCCGGACGCTCGGGAAATCTGGGGTCCGCGAGGCGCAGCCCAGCTCACCTGCCCCGCCCCGCCAGGGCGAGGCAGGAGGCACCCCCTGCCCCGGCCCCACTTGTCCTCTGCCAGCTGCCAACCGCTGTCTCATTTGCAGAGAAATAAGCCAGCCCCCCCCCCGCAGGTCCCCATCCCCATCACCAAGGGCCTGGACCCCCTGAGCCTGCTGACGGACGACGCGGACGTGGCCACCTGGAACAACCAGGGCCTCCCCAGTGACCGCATGTCCACGGAGAACGCCACCATCCTGTGCAGCACGGAGCGCTGGCCGCTGATCGTGGACGCCCAGCTGCAGGGCATCAAGTGGATCAAGAACAAATACGGCAACTCGCTGAAGGCCATCCGCCTGGGGCAGAAGAGGTGGGCGGCGGGGCGGCGCGGCCAGGGAGGGCAGCTCCTGCCTTTCTGACCTGCGAACACAAACACTGGCCCGCGGGGGATGCCGCTTGGCTGGGGCAGCGCCATAGCGAAGACAAAATGTCCCGACACCTGCTGCCTCTGCAGCTCCCGCCCCGAGAACCCGCCTGGCCACCGCGGTTTCCTCGGCCGGCCTGTGGGCCTGAGCTCTCCTCCACGCTGTGACCCGCTGGCGCCTTCCCTAGGGCTGGGGGACCAACCCCCCAAAGCCCTGAGCCCCAGGGAAGGAGAGTGGCGGGCTGCTGCCAGGTGCCTTCCGGGGCTGCCCCTTGGGCCACGCGCGGCACCCCCCGGCCTGTCTTGAAGGCGCCCTGCCGCGCCCACAGCTACCTGGACATCATCGAGCAGGCCATCTCCGAAGGGGACACCTTGCTCATCGAGAACATCGGGGAGACAGTGGACCCCGTGCTGGACCCCCTGCTGGGCAGGAACACCATTAAAAAGGGAAAGTGAGTTGCTGCCGGTGCCGCAGGCGAACTGCCCACACACCCCCTGCGCCCCGGGGCGGCAGCCCGGCCTCTGACGAAGCGCCCACCCATGAAGGGGCTCCCAGCTGCCGAAAGCGGGGTGGCCTGGGCGGGCCCCTGCGCAGGCGTGTTCCTGGCCCCCGTGGGGCTGGCCGCAAAGCTTGAGGCGGGGTCCCCCTAACTGAGGCGAGCCCTTTTAAAGGGGCCCATCGAGGGGCACGCGCTGCCGCCCCCCGCTAGCTCCCAGCGCTTCCATCTCCCCTCGACGCCCCTCAGCCCGGCCCCGCCCGCCCCCGGGTCGCGCTGGCGTGACCTGGCCTTTCCGAGGCCTGACGGGCACTGGCGCTCGCATCGTCGGACGGCGCCAGCCCGTGCCTCTTACGGAGT